CAAAGTCGTTTTACAGATGAGCAAACAGAGGCCCAGAGGGGAAGGGACTTGACTGTCTCATGACCACCACCCTTTACGGCCAGAGGGCTCTGCGGTATAGGCCGCTGCTTGCGACACCTCTGCCCAGCGCTCAGCTGGCTGACCAGTCCACCCAAGCATCTTCATCTCTGAGGAGGGAGTGCGACCCCAAAGTCACAGGCGAATGGAGTGAATGCCTACACTCGCGCCCACTCCCTTTCTTGAATCTTTACCACACCCTACAGCAGATCAATGGTCTGAGACTGCGGGTAGAGAAACTGGACCTGTGTCACTCGGGTCGCCGACCCTGCCGGTTCAAGTCGCGGCCACGCCAGGGGCGTGACCCACCCAGGGGCGTGGCGGGACCCCTGGGGAATCTGGGCATGCGCGGCCCGTGGGGCGTGGTCCCTCTGGCGCCAGCAGAGAGCATGCGCGGCGGCCTCAGGCTCCGATTGGCTCCCGCGGCCGGGGAGGCGGAGTCTGACTGCGGCGCTTCCTCCTACAGCCGCTTCCGAGTCGCAGCCCCAGGGGCGGGAACGCCTGCAGCAGCCCGGATACCGAGCGGTGGTAGGCTTAGGGGGTCCTGGAGCCGGAGCTGGGAGCCAGAGTCAGTGCTGAATCCTGGCCTGAGGCTGCGGGCTCTGCGACCCTTCGAGGTGAGAGCGCGGCCACTCCCTGCCTGGGCCCCCGCCCCGGCTTGGGGCTCGCGGTGCCCTGCCTGGACATTCTGGCTAGCGAATTTCGACCCTCCGCCCCTGTCACTGCCTTGACCCCTTTCACCAGTCCCGATCTCCAGTCAGCCGAAGGGCACGGTCCACCTCCAGCCTGCACAGTTGGTCTCTGCCAGGCAGGTTGTTCAGCCTTGTAGACCCAGGCTAAGACCCCTTCTCTTACTCGTGAAGAGCTAAAGGAGACCCTCATTCCCCACCTCTGGCCCCCCAGTAACTGCTGCTTCTCTTTCCCTTTGCAGATGGACGGGCCAGAAGGCAATGCTGGTCAGCCTGGCCCAGCTGAGAGGTCCCACCGGAGCAGCGTGTCTTCAGTGGGAGCCCGAGGTGGGTCCTTGCTCTGCTCCTCTCTCTGCACCCTCCAGGAGATGTGGCTCTGCCTTGTCTTTTTACTAATCTTATGTTTTAAGATATCAGGTGTTTATGAGATGTGGCAAACTTAAACAAGCCAGAGGCAGAGCACCTGGGCTTTGTGACTAGCTTAGTGATCCAGTTGGTACTGTCCTTGAATTCCTGCTCTCCTCATTTATAGAACAGGCAAGTCTCACCTGGTTGTGAAATTCGAGTGGGAACACATGAATGAAAAGTGACACCTTCACTTTCTTTGTTCCTTTTCTTTCTCACAAACAGCCTTCCAAAGGCAGGGGTCATTATCTTCCTTTTATAGGGAGAAAATTAGGCCCTAGAGAGGTCAAATCACAGGCTTTTGGAAACCTCCAGGTGATCATGATCTTGAGCTTCTCTTCTTTGCCTCTGTTTTCCCTCCCTGTGAGTTGGAGCTGAATTTTTTCCCTCCCTGTAAGTTGGAGGTGCCAGGAGATGATTTTTTTGATCTCTCAAAGTAGCTGTAGAGACAGAAGAGACTGGGGATCCAAGAAGGACCTTCACAGTTGACTCTGAAGTATGCCCTTCCTTTTCACTGGCTTTCTTCATTTGGTTCACAGCTAGTCTTTGAGGGAGGGATATTATCTCTGCTTTTGCAGATGGGTCAGCCAACATTCAAACTGACTAGCCAAAGTCAGCCAGTTAGCCCTAGAGAGCTGACAAGCACTGGAACCCTGGGGTGTGGGCCTCCAAGCTCAGTGTTCCTTTGCTGCCTGTGGTTCCAGGGATGGGAATTTGAATCTTGCTACCCTGCCAAGGGTCTCTCTTTGGCTTTATGCTCCCGATGGAAATCCCCTAGCTTGTAACAAGGGAATGCTCAGCTCTTTGGGTTGTCCTTTCCTAGACTGCTTTTTTTTTCCCCCTCCCCTTTTGCAGCACTGAAGGCTGAACCCAGAGGTACTCTACCACCGAGCCACATCCTCAGCCCTTTTTAGTTTTTGAGACAGGGTCTCATTAAGTGGGTAAGGCTAGCCTTAGACCTGAGATCCTCTTGCCTTAATCTCCTGAGTCCCTGGGATTACAGGTGTGGCTCCCTAGCCTGCTTAAGGCTTTCTTGAAAGGCCACAGTACTGATCCCTGAGGCTTGAAGAGTCCTGAGGAAGCAGAGACATAGAACTTTCTTTGTCTTGGGGTGGCCTTAGGAATCCTCATTCCCTTCCTAGGCAAGACTCATTCTCTCTTTAGTCCAGGCTGAGGGAAACTGTGGGTCACCATCCCTCCTCCCAGCCTCATAGGCTAACTGCTGTGTGACCTCAGGTTGGGGTCAGCTTATGTGCATAGTTCCTCACCTGTGGAATGTTCTTCAGGGCAGAAATGCAGCAGTGCTTGGGGTTGCCAGAGAGCTGGAGGCAGGGGTTTATCATGGCCAGCTCTAAGTTAAGGTGAGGTAAGGCTGGTATCAAGGCCCCAGTGCTGGGTTTCTGGGTGGTTTGAGGGTCTCATGGAAGTCCTGATAGGCAGCACTCCTAACAGGGTCTTTTGGAAAGATTGTTGAGGCTCTGTTTCAGGAGTGTAGCCTGGGTCACCCCCAAGGGGTGTAGGATTGTGAAGGGTGCCTGGTCAGCCAGGCTGTGGGCCTTAGCTGACCCTGCCTGGCTTCTATCACAGCTGCTGATGTACTGGTGTACCTGGCCGATGACACAGTGGTGCCCCTGGCTGTGGAGAACCTGCCCTCACTCAGTGCCCACGAGCTGCACCGGGCAGTCCGTGAAGTCCTGCAGCTCCCAGACATTGCCCTAGATGCCTTTGCACTCTGGCTTGTCTCCCCGCTGCTGGGTAAGTCTTGATGGTGAGCAGCCCTGGGCAGGAGGGTTGGAAGGGCACTGACTAGTGCTGCTTTGGGAACCTCTGGCTACTTACTACACATCAGGAGTGTGTCCTGGAGCTAGCTACCCCTTTGAGGATCCAGAGCCCTCGGGAGACTCCTGACTCCTTTATCCCCACTTTTATTTGGCTGGTGGCAGAGGAAAGGCCTGAACCAGGACTCTGGGGGAGGGAGGGAAGGGCTTCCTGTTCACTGAGCACACCTTTTGTGCCACAGCTAGGCCTCACTCTGAGAGCACAGTTTCACATCCTGTGGCCTAGACCTGTTCTGCAGTGAGGAATTTGAGGTCTCCCAAAACAGAAGGGAGGTGCTGGTCCCTGGACTGTGTTCTGTTCCTTGGGGTTAGGGAGGAAAGTGAGGTGTAACCCAGGAAGCAGCTGCAGTGATGGTGTGGCCTTTGTTGAGGGTGGAAAGGACAGGAAGAGGAAGTACATGATTTCTCTGGACAGGGGTCTCAGCCCTGCCTGGTTTCTGACTCAATGGCTATGCACATCCTGCCCTTTCATATTGGGACCCCAGGGTGGGGTGGAAGTAGGGGCATTGGCTCTCTAGACCCTTACCCAGGAGTCCCTGGGTGAATAAGGTCCCTGGACCTGCTACCTTGGACAGGAAGAAGGCCACAGGACAGAATGCCTCATGTCATCATCTGGGAAAGTAAATTGGTGCCAGGACCAGGCATGTTTCCTGACCTTGAACATTCCCTTTGTTATAGAGGAACAGGGTAGGGAGGTGACTAGTCCCACTGAGAGGGTGAGCAGGATAGCCTTAGTCCAGCCCCAGGCTACCGCCTCTCCTGAGGCCACTGGGGTTTGTGCCTGTCCCCCAGAGGGAGCATCCCAGTGAGTTAAGTAGAAGAAAGGGAGCTCCCAGCACTCCCACCCCCACGCCCCCGCCAGCTTCCTGCACAGCTGCTGCTCTAGGGCAGCCGCCTACCCTCTTCCTGCTGACCCGTGTCTGGCCATTCCACACCCAGCCCAGCTACCCCCCTTCACCCTCAGAGCTTCTGATCAGGACCGGGGCCCCTTGGCTGTATCTTTGGAAAGCTGGGGGTGGTGAGCCTGAGTGGGTATCCCGTGCCTGCCTTGGGAGGCTCCCAGTGCTGCTGCCAGGCAGATTGCTCCCCTCTCCACTTCCTTCACCCCCTCCCTCATCACATTCCTTTCCCCAGTGGCAAGAACTGAATGGGCTGCCTGTGTGGCCTGGCCCATCCAGGGGGAGGATGGCTGAGGCCACTGCAGAGTCAACACCCACCTTGTTCCCAGGCTGGTTTTGGAGGGTGAATGCTACACTTCAGCTTTGCCTCAGGCCCTAGAACCTCTGAGCTCCCCCACAACACACTGGTGAAACAGTAGCAGAGACCCCAGGGCTAGAGTTCCTGCAAGGCAGGGATGGGGTACCGTCTATAGGAGCCCCCTTGCTCATTTTGGTAGAATTTGGCCTCCTAGATGCCACTGTTGTTGCATGAGGGCAGGGCTCCAGGGACTGTCAGTCTTATTTAGGTGACAGCGTCCAGGCAAGAAGCCCATCTGGAAGTCTGAAACCATGGGGTTAGCATAGTCCTTTTCTGATAATGGGATCCTCTGAGCTTCCAGGACCTGTAGTGAAGACGGGAGGATGTCCCTGTCCCCAGGTCTCCCCTTCCCGCAGTGTGACCAGTGGACCCCAGCTAGTGGGTTACTTTGTTTATTCCATAAGAGGGCACAAAGCACTCTGGCCTGGGGAGTGTTCTACATGCTGGGGGTATAGCAGGATGATGGAGTCCCTACCCGTAGTGAACTCAAAGTTGGTACTTTCAAGTTGAAAATGTAGAGAAGTTTGAAGAACAGAACTCTACTCCTGACTAACTCCTTTTGGCTTTGGCAGTCCCCATCCCTCTGAAAATGATCTTGATGCCCTCGTAGCCCTGACATCCTGTGAGTCTCCAGATAGAGCAGGAAGAGGGACTGATCAGGCAGGAAGGTGGCAAGGGAGCACTTCCAGGAGGGGAGAAAAACGCAGCTGTTGAGGCAAATGGCATATTCTCTTGCTTGGAGTGTGTGTGTGGGGTGACATATGGGTGGAACTAAGGATCTAAGCAGGAAATGAGGACTGTGGAGCCTCTGGGAATCTGGATCTGAAATGATGGGGTAAGAAAGGACTAGAGAAGCTGGATGGAGGGTTAGATGGAAGAACCTGGAGACGGAGGCCAATTTAGAGGCTGTGGCTCCTGTTTGAGATCAGGATCAGGGTTGGAGCTGGGTGTGGTGGCATGACCTGTAATCCCAGCTACTGGGTAGTCTGAGGCTAGAGGATTGCCAGTTTGAGGCCAGCCTGGGCAACTTAGCAAGACTCCGTCTCAAAAGTTTAAGAAAGTTGGGCTAGGGTTGTGGGTCAGTGGTAGAGTGCTTGCCTAGCATGCGCTAGGCAATGTGTGAGGCATGTGTGAGCCACTGGGTTTGATCCTCAGCACTGCATAAAGACAAATAAATTGTGTCCATCTACAACTAAGAAATATTTTTTAAAAATTTTAAGAAAACAAAAACCTGGGGATGTAGCTCAGTGGAAGAGTACCCTTGGGTTTAATCCCTAGTACCTGAAAAAAAGAAAAAAGGAGAGATCTGGGTCCAGGTGGAAGTTCCAAAAGGTCCAAAGAATGGAAATGAGGACTCTTGGCACTAGGCTGCGGAGAGGGGGAGGGGGAGAAGAAGGCCATGTGGGGTAGACGATAGAGGGCAGGTGAGTGACAGGTGTTTTGCTACTCCCCCTCCTGCATCCTCAGCAGACACTTCAGTTCACCTCTGAGTGAGCTTGGAATCCCTCACACCTCTCAAAGGGCAGCACCCCAGGTGACACTCTGGTCTGTGAGCTGAAGATGCTTGTTCCCTGGTCGGAGGGGCTGATAGCACAGAGGTTGAGGCGCTGTGAGTGAGTGTTCAGTCATTGTGCCAGTCCTTGTTGGGGCCCTGTGTGCACAGGATCTACTCCTATCCACGTGTCACTCAGTCTAAAGCAGGCTGAGGCAGTGAGAGCTTGTCAGGTGGTGGAAAGTGCTGGAAAGGCAGGCAGATGAGGGCACAGATGGAAGGTTTTGAGGAGATGCTGCCTGAGTTAGGAGTCCAGGGCAGATGACCTTGAACTAAGATCTGAGTTGTCCAGTCATGTACAGATCTGGGAGACAGGAATCCAAGGCAAGAAGAGCAGCAAGTACAGATTGTCCCCAAGACAATCAGGCTAGGAGTGTTCACGTGATTTAAGGCCTGTGTAGCAGGAGCAGAGTGGAGGGGGCGAGGGAGGTAGCGAGGTGAGAGCCAGGAGGGAGCTGGGCGGCATCGCCTTGTGTGCCATGGAGGCGAAAGTGGAGCCTGGCAGTGGGGAGGCCCAGGCCTTGCCAAGGGCAGGGAAGGCAGCTTCTCTGAACTTTGGGCCCTCATCTCCAGCCTCAGAGTCTGCTTCCTGGTAGTTCTGGGTCTCTCTGCATGGCCGCCCCCAGTCCCTTCCATCCACCTCAGCCTGCCTGGGGCTGGAGTGAGCAGGGGTCGGCTGTCTCTGAAGCCCAGTACTCTTTGTGACTCTGGACAAGTTGCTTAACCTCTCTGAGCCCTGTTTTCTCTGAGGATGAAATGGACAATAGAGTTATTAGGGTAAATGCATAAGAACCACTTGAATTGGTTCTGGACACTCTGTACCTACTCAGTTACTGATAGATGTGACTGTCCTTGTTGTTGCCGTGAGTGGGCAGTTATGACGGGGGTGGGTGGGCACCATCAGCCTGCTCCTGAGGCTGCATGGGTGCCTCTCCTCTCATCTTGCAGAGGTGCAGCTGAAGCCCAAGCACCAGCCCTACAAGGTGGGCCGCCAGTGGCCCGAGCTGCTACTGCGCTTCACTGACGCCCCAGACGACGATGTGGCCATGGGTCAGTGCTGCTTTGGGCAGGTGGAGTTGCCCTAGCTGAAGGCAGGCCCTGCATCTCCCCCAGGTTTGGGCAGCCACTCCTGATGGGAGATCAGGTGCCTAGGGGAGGCTGAATAAGGGCAGCTGGGACGCTTATCAGGCGAGGCGGTGAACTGTGTAGTTCTCTCGGGGCCCTTGGCATGAGGGTTTCGTAGTCAAAGTGGGTGAGTTTTGGAGCTGGGCCTGAGCCAGCCACAGGGAAGGGCAGTGCTGGGCGGAGTAGGGTGGCTGGCCAGTGACACTGCTTCCCTCCCCAGATGAGCCTTCCCTGCAATTCCGAAGGAACGTGTTCTTCCCAAAGCGGCGGGAGCTCCAGGTGAGGCGTGAGCCCTGGCAGAGTACCCAGACCAGGCCGTGCCAGCTCCCCTTCTCCCTTCATGCCTTGCCCCAGCTGGCTGAGCAGTCCTCTGCCACACTGGCCCACAGATTCACGATGCCGAGGTCCTGCGGCTGCTGTATGAGGAGGCCAAGGGCAACGTGCTGACCGCTCGATATCCGTGTGATGTGGAGGACTGCGAGGTGCTTGGCGCCCTGGTGTGCCGTGTGCAGCTTGGGCCCTACCAGCCTGGCCAGCCTGCTGCCTGCACCCTGAGGTGAGGGCAGGTGACCCAAGGCAGGGGCACCTGGTAGGGGAAGTTGCCCTCACTTATGAGTGGTCATCGGTCCTGCAAGGTGGGGCACAGTCCTGGAGTTTGGAGGCCTCAGTCCTATCACACATGCTCACTGTGTGGCCTTGGGTGAGTCGTTCCACCTCTCTGAACCCCCTTTCCCTCATCTGGGCAGAGGAAACCAGGGCGAAGTGCTATCTAAGAAGACTCCATAGCCCAAGAGGCCCTAGGAAAGTGTGAGGGTGGAGGCTGGCCTCTGGCTGAAGTCAGGAGGGAACTGGCCTTGTTCATTGAAGTCACAGCCAGGGACTAACCAATACTGATTCTTCAGTGGCCAGCAACAGTCCAGCTTAATTCCAAACCCAAGGAATGGAACCCCCTTCCCCAGACACTCATCCAGCCAGCTGTGTGCTTCCCAACCTTCTTGGGGCTGCCTCTGCCATGTGATATGCAGGCCTTGGGGTGGGGGCGGGGACAAGGACTGAGTCTGCCCTGGCAGCACACCAGGCCACGCTCTCCCCTCCACGGAGGATGCCACTGAGGTTTAGAGATACTACCCTGTTACAGTGGATGAGGCAGGAGAGAGGTGTGTAGGACAGGGACCCTGTGCTGGGCTGATGACTGGGGCCCAGCAAGGGCCACCCCAGTCTGAGTTGAACTGGAGGGCTGTCAGCTGAGCTGGTCCAAGGCTGGTGGCTGTGGGGCCCAGGCCCTTGCAGTAGGCACATCTGTTCCTCTTGTAAGTGACAACAAACCCAGCTCAAACTGTTGGCACACCTGAGTCCTTGCTCAGGTCACATTCAAGTATGGTCAAGGAGCCTCGGCTGAGCTCAGTGCCAGGGCTCAGCTGGGCCCCAGCCCCGTTCTCACTCTCCTTGCCTAGCCTTCATCCTCCTGCCCCTACCAGCTCAGGCACACTCATGCCATGGGCCCAGTGGTAACTTGCTCTTCCCTTGTGTGACCAGAGCCCTTGGACTCATTCTGGTGACTAGTGAATTGGTCCCAGGTCCACCCAAAGGAAGCATCATGACATGAGCAGCCCAGGTCCTTCCGTGGGTCCCACCACAACCCCAACAAACCACATGAGCTGAGAGCAAGAAAGGCTTTCTCATGGCAAGTGGAAGCTGTTCCTGAATGAAGGGGTGTAAGGGGACAGGTGACAAAATGTCCATAGCAGCCCTCTGGGGTCCCCTCCTCATGCCTGCTGGGCCTGGGCCTCCTGAGCCAACATAGGTTCCTTCCCTCTGCCCTTCTTCTGGAGCATCTGCCCCTGCCCTCATGGCCTGGGGTATTTGGGGCTCCAGAATCCTCAACAAGACCCCTCTGCTCTGGTGAAGATGGCAGCACAGTGAGATCTTTTAGCACTGACCTCAGCCTGGGCCCATGCCCGCGCCCCAGCCTTCTATGTTCTTTGGGATTTGTGTCCATTTTTGTATATAGGGAAGATGGATCCCTGGAGCCTCGTAGACCAAGAGTTCTGGCCTTATTTTATTTGAAAGAGAGAATTTTTTTTAATATTTATTTTTTAGTTTTCGGCGGACACAACATCTTTGTTGGTATGTGGTGCTGAGGATCGAACCCGGGCCGCACGCATGCCAGGCGAGCGCACTACCGCTTGAGCCACATCCCCAGCCCCTGACCTTAGTTTATTGGAACAGCCAATCCATGGCCCCCAGAATCCTTGGGTGGCCTAAGATGCAGAAGTAACTGCATTTATGTCGAGATCCTTTCCTGCTTTGCATGTGTGATGGGGCGCCCTGTTGTTCATGAACCTGATTCTAGGCTGGTGTTTTGGCATCTTTATCTGGCAGAAGAAAGCATCAGGCCTCTTGCATAAGTTTTTGGTTAGAAAAGCTCCCAGTTCAGAAATGCCAGTCGTCCTTCCTTGTGACACAGACATTGCTCTGAAACCCTCCTGTGGATCTGGTTCCCGATAGGGCCTGCTCTGGCTCTCTTCTTGGGTCCCAGCCTTCCTTTGTCCCTTCCTGCACACCTCAGTGCCTCCCAACTTCCTGTACTCACCTGACCCTGCGTGTCAGCGAGCCCCTCGCAGGACCCACTGGGACACCCTCCACAGAGCCTAGCACACCACGGTGCTCTCACTAGTGTATCTCCTCTCCTGGGGTGAGAATGGGCCTGGTGGGCCCTGAATCTGTCCCCTCTGCCAGCTTGGTGGTGTTTCCTTGGGTCTCCTGGGTGGGGAGCTGGTACTGAGGGGGAAGCAGGCAGGGCCTGCCGTGTGGAGGATCTTCGCAGCGTGAATGGTGCCACAGACTGGGACAGGACTCAAGGGACAGGCATGTGTCCAGGGCTTCTGCTCGTGGCTACGTGGGCTGGCTCCTAGAGCAGTAGGAAAGAGCAGGATCAGAGTGGATGAGACCTGGGCTGCCCTCGGGGTGCTCCCACTCCAATCCTGGGCCTGGGCCTGGAGTCTTACATGTTTAGGGTGGCGGTAACTATCACTGGTGCCCTTGGTGGCAGTACCGTCCTCATTCTGCAGATGAAGCAGCACAAAGCAGGGAAGATACCTCTTGCCAGTTGTGCAGCTGGTCATGGCAGAGGCAGGTCCAACTCCAGAACCTACCCTTTGGAGGGGCAGATCTGCCCCCCGCCATGGCTGTGCCTACCTGGGCCTCTTACCCAGTGTCTGGCTTGGAGGTCACTTCCTCTGGTCATCCTGTTTTTCTTACAGGGGAGAGCACCCCACCTGCACTTGACAGGGGCCCCTCCTGGCCAGGATGGGTTGGCCATTGAGCCAGGCTCAGCAGGCCCTGGCTGAAATGGAACAGTGGGGTTCCCTCTAGCGGTCCATGTCCAGGGCAGGGGAGAGCCCTGGTGAGCACATATGCCCTGTGGGTCCCCAACCAGGCACTAACCAAGCCCTTTCTTTCCCCTGGGTGTGGCACCCACACCCTGAAGTCCTTGGCACCTCTGGTAGGGCCACCAGCACCCACTTCCTTCCTCCACAGAGAGAAGCTGGACTCCTTCCTCCCTGCCCATCTCTGCAAGCGGGGCCACGGCTTCTTTGCTGCCTTCCGGGGCCGCAGTGCCAAGTCTGGGACGGGCGAGCAGGGCTTGCTGAACGCCTACCGCCAGGTGAAGGAAGCAGTCAGCAGCAGCGACAGCGGCCAGGAGGCCGCCCTGGCCTCCCACTACCGTGCCTACCTCCTCAAGTGCCACGAGCTGCCCTTCTACGGGTGAGCAGCCTCGGCCCTGGCGCCTCTGCTCACAGCCCGGCAAGCTTGTCCAGGCAGCTGCCCGTGAGCCCCCGGAGCTCCAGCTGCTCCCTCCTTCCTGTGAAGCGCGGTGTTGGCATGAGCGCTGGGCCTAAGCCGGGTACCTGTGCTCCCTGCTCCTGTCCCAGGCCAGGACACCTGGATGGCTCTCCTCCCACCTGCCATGGACACTTAGTCACTGGCCTGGCCAAGCACCCACACTCAGCTCTCTGGCTCACCCGGTCAATGTATCACAAATAGCTGCCGCGCATACTGCACGGTGGGCACTCTGCACTGAAGGGACCTCACGAGCCAGAGGCTCTGTGATCCCTGCCTAGTGAAGCTCATGTGCGAGGCAGGGGGGAGAGGGGGTCACCTGCAGGCAGGCATGGCAGCCAGGCAAGTAGGGGAGGGTGTGGCAGTGACCCACAGGCTTGGCACAGGCCCAGTGGTAATGACGGAAACCTGAGACAGATATAGTCAGGTCTGGAGGGTCCCTAGAGACCAAGCACCGCATGCTGCAGGGCTGCAGCTTCGAGTCCTGTGCGCGTGCACTGTTGGGCTCGCCCTCATTGTTGAGGCTGGTGATGGGCATCAGCCTAGCTGAGGTGGGACAGGTGGGAGAGGGAGGAGGGCTTGGCAACCAGTGCCACTGGCTTCCACAGTTTTTTTTTTTTTTTTTTTTTTTCCCTCCCACTGTGTGTTGGGGATGGAACCCAGGGCCTTGTGCATGCTAGCTAGGCAAGCACTCTTTTAGCTCTACTACTGAGCTACACTTTACTTTTTAGGCACTGGGGATTGAACCCTGAGGCTCTTTATGACTCAATCACATCCCTAGCACTAACACCCCTTCTCAAGTCTTTTTTTTTCTTAATATTTATTTTTTAGTTGGATACAATATCCTTTTTATTATTTATTATTTATATGTGGTGTTGAGCATCGAACCCATGGCCTCCCACATGCTAGGCTAGCGCTCTGTGGCTGAGCCACAATCCCCACCTGCTTCTCAGTCTTAAGCCTAGAAAGTTGTTCCCGGGGCAGCCTTCACCTTCTCTCTTGTCCCAGCAGGTCCTTGCTGCTCAAGCATCTTTGTCCTGGACAGTGGGCAGCAGGGATCTGTGGCTACTTCTAATGACCTTAGCCTTGACCCCCAGGCCAAGTCCCAGGCTCCAGCCATTCCTGAGCACAGCTTGCTTTGTCCCCCTTCCTGGGTTCGTGCTCTCTCCTGTCTCTTCTGCCCTGTGCCACCCAGTCCCTTATGTCCTGCACTGCTGGCTTATATGCCACCACCCCCAGGAAACCTCCCCTCACCCTGCTCAGGTCTTCCTCCTCCAGGGCAGGCTTCTGTTTAACCCAAACAGATTAAGCCATCTTAGAGCATAGAGCGGTCCTCCCCAGTGTGCCAAGTGCTGGAAGGAGCGGCTGACCCCCGTCTCCTCCCCAGGTGTGCCTTCTTCCATGGCGAGATTGACAAGCCAGCCCAGGGCTTCTTACACCGGGGCGGACGCAAGTCCGTAACTGTGGCCATCAGTCTGGAAGGCGTGCATGTCATCGACAGCAGGGAGAAGGTACAGCCTCCAGTCCCCTGGGGTGGGACCTTAGGCCACCTCTGTGGGTCAGAAGGGAGTAAGGGTCTTGCCCAGGCATTCCTAGTTCCCCTGGGCCTATGACAGTGAGTGGACTGTGCCTCCCGCTTGTCTCTGGAGGCCTGCTTCCTCAGGTCTGCTCTGGGTCAGCTTTTCTGCCTCAGGTACTGGGCTGCACTGCACATGGCCAGAGCGGGGAGGAAGCTGCAGTGGGGATCTTCCCTTTGAGCTTAGGAAGTCAGGGTGCCTGGCTGCTCTGCTTGGCCAGTGGTGGAGTCCAGCTGCTGGCGTTCCAGAAAGACCCTAAAAGACCCAGGGGTGGCCCAAGGCCCGCTGTTCCCTGGTCGTGGCTGGCTTGCCTTTGTCTGCCAGTGTAGGCGTCTGTGCCAGCAGCTCTCCCTGTGCAGTGACAGCTTCCCTGCACTTGGGCACAAGTACCCTCCCAAACTGGCTGAAGAGTTTTGACTGACATCCCTTTGTCCCCAGCAAGGACTCCAGCCCTTCCTGGCTGGCTGGTCTCATGACAGAGACCTCCCTGTCCTACTGCCTCCTCCCTGAGGTGACTCAGCAGTCAGGGCCCTTGCCCCACGGGTGGGAGCCTGAGGAATAAGGTTCTCGGCCTCCCTGGACCCCAGCCCCCAGGAGCATGATGGAAGCCGGCTCCTCTCCTTAGAGAAACACATGGAGGAATTTAGACAACCCAGAGAGACAGACACCCCAGCAGGAGTCCCCTCCCGGCTGAGGCTGAGTGGGACAGGGTGGGGTGGCCACTGCCAGGTGAGCAAGCCTCGCTCCCCCCCCCGCACGTCCTGCTGGGCCTCAGCTTCCAGGAGCTGTCCTGGGACCACACCTCCCCGGAGGAGGAGGAGCCTGTGTTGTGGCTGGAGTTCGATGGGGACAGTGAGGGTGTGCCTGTCAACAAGCTGCTCAGGATCTACTCCAAGCAGGTAAGTGGGGAGCATGTAGTGGTGTCACCCCGCAGGGCGGGCTCTGCTGGGCCGGGGCTGGCAGGGAGGACTGCCCTGCAGCTCTCGCAGCCCGAGATGGTGGCAGTGGCAGCTGCCCTTGGAGCAGCTGTTCCTCGAGGCTTTTGCAGTTCCGCATGAGCAGCTGCACCATCTCCTTCTGTGCTCAAGGCCCCATGAGGTCAGCGCTGTGGCTACTCCAGGTCTCAGATGAGGAGCACAGACATTAAGGTTCAGCCTTCAGTGAGCTTCTGTATGTGGCCTGTCCATGTATCCAGCGAACCTTTGGCCCCAACCTCCATTCCCCTGCGCCTCCTCCCACCCTGTTTGTCGGAGCCCTTGAAGGGTTGTTCTTGCTCCTCCTCTCCTCTCTTGGCACATAGACGAGTTCAGGGACTCCCATCTTTAAAAGCACATGTCCTCTCCCGCAGGTGGCATCGTAGGTCTTACCAAGAGGTGGGAAACAACCAGTGTCCCAACACGGTGGATGGGTCAACCAGTTGTGCTCCACCCTTCAGTGTAACGGATGCAGCCTTCCGAGGCTGGTTCTCTGCACTGAGGAGCATGATTCTGAGGCTCTTCCATACACTTGGTTCTCTTTGGGGGAGGGGGTGGTGCTGGGATGGAACCCAGTACCTCCAGCCATGCTAGGCAAGCAAGCACCCTAACACTGCCCAGCCCCGGTTCATTCCCCTTATTCTCAAGTGGGTTTCCATTGTCCAACGTACAGCAGTTCACCCTCTTACCCACTGGGGAGATTTGGGTTCCCATATTTTGCTTTTATTGGTAAAGCTGCTCCAAACATTTATGTATAGGTTTTTATGTGGGCATAGGTCTCCTTTTGTATAAAAACCTGGGAGTGAGATTTCTGGGTTGTGTGATAAACACGAATAACTTTAGAACCTCCTAGAGTGGGTTCAGTGCCACATGCCTGTAATCTCTGCAGTTTGGGAGGCTGAGACAAGAGGATTACAAGTTCAAAGCCAGTATTAGCAATTTAACAAGGCCCGAAGTTACCTAGTGAGACCCTATCTGAAAATAAAAAAAGAGCTGGGGATGTGGCTCAGTGGCTAGGCACCCCCGTGTTCCCAGGTACAAGAAAACAAGTTAATGGATTTCAGATTTTCACAAAATCATGCTCAACCTACAGTTAAGTCTTGAAATTTTAGAACTTTGATTTGTTTGTTTTTGCTTTTTCAAAGTTGTTTTGGGACCAGCCATGGTGGTGTACACCTGTAATCACCAACTTGGAACGCTGAGGCGGGAGGATCACACCTCGGCAAGACCCTGTCTCAAAAAAATAAATTAAAAGGACTAAGGATGCAGTTCAGCGGTCAAGCACTCCTGTGTTTAATCCCCAGTACGAAAACAAATTTATTTTGGCTATTTTAGTTCCTTTGCAATTTCAATATGAATTTTATTTTATTTATTTTATTTTTTTAGTTGTTGCTTGATCTTTATTTATTTACTTATATGTGGTGCTGAGGATCAAACCCAGTGCCTCGCATGTGCTAGGTGAGTGCTCTACCGCTGAGCCACAACCCCAGCCTATTTATTTATTTTTAAATTGGGGGTTGGGGTATAGCTCAGTTGGTAGAGTGCTTGCCTCACACGCACAAGGTGCTTGGTTCAATCCCCAGCACCACACACACACACACACACACATACACACACACACAAATTTGTTGTAAATAGACAGAATGTCTTTATTTTGTTTTATTTTTGTGTTATGTGGTGTTGAGGATTGTACCCAGGGCCTCACACATGCTAGGCAAGCGCTCTACCACTGAGCCATGGCCCCAGCCCTCCATATGAATTTTAGAATCAGCACGCTGATTTCTACCCTTCTCCTGTCCGCCCCCAGCCCAAGAATACACTACCTGGGATTTGTTTTTGTTTTTTGGTACTGGGAATTGATCCCAAGAGTCTACCAATGAGCTACATCTCTAGTTCTTTTAATTCTTATTTTTAAACGGGATCTTAGTAAGTTGCCTTGAACTTGGGATCCTCCTGCCCCAGTCTCTCAAGTAGCTGGGCACCACCTGGATTTTGATTAAGATTGCATTGACAACTTTGGAGATAACTGACTGGCTTCAGTCCACTCATTTCTACTTTGGGGTGGGGGGGGGTTCTGAGGATGGAACCCTGGGCCTCATGTGTGCTAGGCAAGTGCTGTACCACTGAGCCACACCCCCAGCCCCCACTAATTTCTGTGTCTCCTCCATTTAATTGTCTTTGGTTTCTTTCATTAGCATTTTGTTAGCTTTATGCCCTTTTCTTTTCCGTTTTTTTGCCCTCTGCTCTGTGTCTGGTGGTACTCTTGACATTTTGATTTCCAGTCATTCGCTGCGGCACATGGATGGCAGCCATGTATTCTGCAGCCTTGTTCAGCTCACTCACCTAGTCTGGTAGTTTTCCTGCAGGCCATTATATTGTTTGTGAATGGGGGCAGAGTTGTCACCTTCTGATTTGTCTGCCTGTCGTTTGTCCTGCCTGGCGTTCACAGACTGAGCGGACATCCCAGCCTGCCCTGGTCTGTGGGAAGGCCTGGTTTTGCCCAATGTGAGGGCGGCCTTAGCTGTAGGCTCCTCCTAGCCCCTTCATGGGGCCGAGGAGCCTGGCATGCTGGTCATCCCAGGGCCCGGAGAGTGCAGTTCTGTGAAGGGGTGTTGTGAATGGGGGTTGCATTGTGACCCCCCAAGCATTAAGCTCTGCCTCAGCTCTTGTTCCAAGGAGCTTAGGGTGCTCCTCATTGTGTTTGCAGTTCAGGTAGGACTGTCCCCCCCAGCTGCCACCTGTGCACAAGCCCACTGCCCACTCTTGGACAGTGAGAGAAGAAGGCCCCTGTGGACATGCCCAGAGGGCAGTACGGAAACTCGGCCTCAGCTGCTGCTCTTCCTCTGGGGCCAGGGAACTGCCCACTCTCCCACTCCTCCCGAGGGCACGCTGTGCTGTTGCTGAGGCCTCAGGCCACACTGGGGATAGTTGGGCTGGACCAGTACAGGGGCTACCAGCAGGTACCCAGCCCATCTCCACAATCAGTTCTTGGTCCTGGGGGCCTCTCCTCGGAAGCACAAGAGCTTGACTCCCCCGGCCATTTCCCAGTCCCTGCAGCAACACCTGGCTCACAGTAGATGCTCAGAAGGGTACCACCCTTGGACAGCCTTCTGTCTGTGACACCCTGAGAAACCGAGGTCTCTGTATTGTGCCCAGCTATGGCCGCAGACATCTGGCTACCTCACCTTTTATGTCAGTGTGCATTCTGTTTTCAAATCTATTAGAAGATGTCACTTTTGAAGAATGTGCTCAGAGGGAGCCACCCCCACCAGTGACAACACCCCACTTCCCCAGGCCTGCAGGTGCTCCCAGGCAGCACACAGTGGCTTTCTGTAGCCGAGTGCCCCCTCCCTTCCTCACCCTCTCTGGAGCTGCTGAGTTTCTGGAAGCCCAGCCGGGCTTCTCCTCCTGCTCCAGCCCACACAGGCAGCCTTCCCAGGCTGCGCCTTCTGACTGGAACGTTCTTTCTTTTCCACATCACCTCCCAGACCAGGGGACCCTGCCTCAGCCTCCTGAGTCACTGGGATTACAGGTGTGTGTCACCATGCCCAGTGCACCTGGCCTCACCTCTGGAGTCTTCATGTGGGACACCTCTCCTGCCCCCTGGTCCCCAGAGCCCCCACTGCAGCCCTCCTTCCTGCCTTGGGAATGGTGTGGTTCC